TTTTTATTTAGGGTGTTAAGGTCACTAAATTCAATTGTATTCTCATAATCTTTATTGAAAAACTTATCGAAATATCTAATCTACCTTTGTTTGATATAACCTCTTTTAAGAGAAGTACTTTGATCTTCATTTTTGATGTACTTTACTTGGATTAATTCTTACTCCTATCTCTTTAGTTGTCTAATTTATATGCACATCTTTCTTCTTCCTAAGTATCTAATCTATTATATAAATTTCTAAAAGCTAAATTATTTGCACGGGCGCCTTTATAACATTACTAAGTTTTTGAGTTTTTACATCCAAATTAATTTTTATAACAAAGTTTTTTTATTTTTTATTTTTTCTTATATATTTTGATTCCATGATTACTAACTATATTTACTATTATGAGGTTTTCTTTTTGATAATCTAAGTATATATTTTGTAATATTCTTATCATTAATTTCCTAATTAATAACTCAAATCTTAAAATCTTGAATCTTACTCTCAAAATTATTTTTATTAACATTTTTTAAATAATCGCATCTAGTCCTAGGACAATATATTTTATCTTATTTTTTATATTCCACAATTTCATCTTAAAATTCATAACTAATAAGCGATATTGGGTATATAAACTTTCACTTTGAATGACTTTACCACTTTTGCAATCTAAACGATCTAAGCTTCTTAAAAGAAAATAATTAATCGGAATTTTTCCATATCAATTCTTATAAATGATGGGATTTTTCTCTATTTTCTTAAATAAGGTATTACAATGACAACAATATCAAGCCTTTATCCCACTTTGGGGTCGGCTAAATGAATCTTTTTTCTCCTGTGTCATGTTAAGAGTTAAATTCTCATTTAAATTTATGAAAAAAATGTCATTTCTAATATTTTCTAACCAAGTTTTTTTAGTCTCACCTCTACATTTCTTGACATAGGTTAAATCTAATACATCTACTTTTCTAACCGGATCATCGAAAGGCCGCCGTTTTATGTGACAAAACCATCTGAGGCGTCTCTCTCTAATCTTATCTTCCACTTGAGCTACTCCAACCTTTTATCGTATATGCTCATTTCGTATCTTGTCACTTAGAGTAAAGCCACTCATCCACCTCAGTATCTTCATGTCTGCAACACTTAACTTAATATTATGTTCTCTTTTAATGACCAACATTCTGCACCAGTTAGCATTGCAGGTCTAACCACCATCTTATAGAGTTTTCCCTTAAGTTTGAGTGGGGCTTTTCTATCACACAACAAGCCCGATGCATTCCTCCACTTCAACCATCCAACTTGAATTCTACTAATAATATCACCATCTATTTCACCATCACTCTGAATAATAGAACCAAGATATCGAAAACCTATTCTTTTGTTAATGACTTGATCATCCAAAGTCACAATTCCCCCACTAGATCTATTATTACTAAAACTACACTCCATAGATTCAGTTTACATTCAACTCTAGTTTTATCAACAAGAAGAATATCATCAACAAAAAGCATACACTAAGGTACAAACTCTTGCAAATATCTAATGAGAACATTCATGACTAAAGCAAAAAGATACGGGCTTAAGATTGATCCTTGATGTAATCCAACTGAAATAGGAAAATACTTGGTCCAGCCACCTTGTGTTTGAACATAAGTAACAACTCCTGCATAGATATCCTTAATAACTTGAATATAAGCATTATTAACCCCTTTCTTTTCTAGAACTCCCCCTAGCACTTTTCTTTGAACTTTATCATATGTTTTGTCTAAATCAATAAATATTATATGTAGATCCTCCTTATTCTCATTATACTTCTCCATCAACCTCTCGATAAATGTATAGCTTCCATAGTAGACCTACCCGGCATGAATCCAAATTGATTTTGAGAAATATTAGTATCATGCCTCAACCAATACTCCATAACTCTCTCTCATAGTTTTAAAGTATGACACATTAATTTAATCCTCTATAATTTGCACAATCTTGTGCATCACTTTTATTCTTAAAAATTAGAAACAATACACCCATTCTCTACTCATCTGGCATCATTTTAGTTTTCAAAACAATATTAAAAAGTTTAACAAGCAAAAAAATTCCTTCATCTCCTAAGCATTTCTACACCTCTATTGTAATATCTTCAGGTCCAACAGCTTTTTCACACTTCATTTCCTTTAAAGCCAACATCAGTTTTACTAATACGTCGATAAAAAAAATTATTTTCATTTATGGTGCTATGGTCACTAAAGTCAATCGCATTCTCATAATCTTTATTGAAAATTTTAGAAAATTATCTTATCCACCTTTGTTGAATATACTCTTCTAATAAAAATACTTTTTGATCTTCATCCTCAATACACTTCACTTGAACTAAATTTTTACTACTATTATATCTTTGTTTGGCTAACTTATACATATATCTTTTGACCTGCTTAGTATCTAATACAACAACAACAACATCAAGCCTTTTCCTCACTATGTGGGGTCGGCTGCATGAATCCTTTTTCGCCATTGTGTCCTGTTAAAAGTCAAATTCTCATTTAAATCTAATAAAGAAAGATCATTTCTAATTTTTTTTAACCAAGTCTTTTTAGGTCTAACGCTACTTTTCTTAACATAAGTCAAATATAATACCTCAACTTTCCTAATAGGGTGATCGGAAGGCCTCTGTTTAATGTGACCAAACCATCTATAAGGCTATTCTCTCTAATCTTATCTTCCACTGGAGCCAATGTTTAAAATTGCGTATTCGGGTATTGAGGCGTTTTTCATTCGTGAGGCGAGGCGTAATCCTCAAGACGTTTTGAGGCGTAAGCCTCAAAATCAAAAGATTGCGTAAACATAAAATAATAATTTTTTTATATACTAATGAGTGAATAATATAAAACATAAAAAAATATAAGATATGAAGTGAAATCAAAATATCCTAATAATAAGACAACATGAAATATAGTTCAACTCAAAATTCTATCTATCGCAAATCCCAGTATTCTTTTCATTAATATATAATTCAAATTTCCAAAAATAAATAACAATGACATATCACATAAGAACTCATAAGTCATCAGCACTGTCATCACTAAGGGGTTCTTCATTTGAATCATCATTATGATGAATTGCTCTCTCCCCTTCCTCTCTTATAGAGTCCAATGTTGGGCATTTACTTCAAGATTTCTGTAAGTTTTAATATATATAGCGTGAGGCATAAGCCTCATGCTAGTGAGGTGAGGCGGGCCTCAACCAAGTTGAGGCACAAGCCTCATAAAAAAAACTCAAGGCGTAAGCATCAAGGCGTTTTTTACTGGAATTGCGCAAAGGCGGGCCTCAAGGCTAGCCTCAGATTGCGCAATTTTAAAGCATGACTGGAGCTACTCTAACCTTTTCACGTATATGCTCATTTTGTATCCTATCTCTAAGGGTAAAGCCACTCATCCACCTAAGCATCCTCATCTTTGCAACACTTAACTTAGTATTATGCTTCTCTTTTAATGACCAACATTCGACACCATAAAGCATTGCAAGTCTCACCACCATCTTATAGATTTTTCCCTTATGTTTGAGGGGGACTTCTGTATTGCACAACAAGCCCGATGCATTCCTCCACTTCAAGCAACCGACTTGAATTTTGTTGATAATATCCCCATCTATTTCACCATCACTCTGAACAATAAATCTAAGATATCTAAAACATGCACTCTTATTAATGACTTGATTGTCCAAAGTGACAATCCCCTCACTAGGTCTATTGCTACTAAAATTACACTCCATATATTCAATTTTAGATTTACTCAAGCGAAAACCTTTAGACTCTAACGTTGACCTCCATAATTCATGTTTACCTTCAACTCCCTCTCTAGTCTTATCAACAAGAAGAACCTGCTTAGTATCTAATCTATTATATAAATCATTAAAAACTAAAACTTTTTGCATAGATAAACCTTTCGAAAAGAAATATTCTCTGCCATTGTGCTTGCTTGTGGCATTGGATGCTACTAGGAAATTAGAAGAAAATGTTGTCCAAGAATGTGCACCCAACCTTTTCATGTTTTCATTATTATTTGGTTTTGTGACTTGTCAGGTTGGATCCAGAATTTTTTGAATCAAACTGAAAATGAAAATTGATTAAGCTTTCACCAACAAAAGCCATACCAATTGAAAGCTACCCGGCTGAATACTAAATTCAGTTTGTTCTGTTTAGTTTTTTATTTATTCGGTCCTTTTAACAGAACGTAGTGATCAAACCAATGGAGGTAGTAGTTCATGTTTCAGTATGGTCCATTGGTGGGTTCGGCAGTGTTGATGTCAATTGACCTCATATGATCATGTCATACATTGAAACTTCATTTTACTTCTCGGTGTACATCCATCATCAACATTAAATAAATAATGTGGCGATGAAGTTGAAATACTCATTTAATGACAACTAGCATGAAAGAGAACCTTGAATCTACAAAGTGATATTTTCACGAACTATACTTATTGTATTTTCCTTTTCTTGGTTATAGATGTGCCACTAGGATTGTGGTCCTCAAAGGCATTAAACATTTGAATCAACTCAGGGCAATAGGAAAATCCATTTATTAAAATAGTCTTTTCAAATGAGCTGTTTTTTGTTCGACGGAGTTGGCCTTTCAACCTTCAAATCCTTTTTCTTTATTGATTTCAATTGGCGGGGTTCTGCATTTGGGTGTTACGTCGAATCAGAAGGCCAATCAGTTCTTTGTAAATCCTATTGATCTTTCGAAGTTTTTATATTCTTTGTTGGACCGTCTAAATTTAGTAAGACTTGCATATGAAACTTGTATTATTTACGTGCTTTTGAATTGTTTTGCTTGATGCATGAAGCAAGCAGGTTTATCATAGATAATATTTTATTTTGAGGCCATCTTGCTACCTAACCCTTTTACTTTGGACATAATATCCATAGGGACAAATCTTCCAAAAATACACTTTATTAAATCTAACAGCTCTTATTGGAAAGCCTCTCATTTACGCTTTAGTTTGCTTTTATTCTTGTACAGATTCAATAAAAGAGAAGAGGATTTTCCATCCTTGAAGGAGTACAATGATTATCTGGAAGAAGTGGAAGATATGAGTCAGTATTTTGCTACAAATCTCTCGCACGTGTCCAATTTTCTGTGTTTAATTTTGGCATGTTTAGTAACTTCAAAATTTTTTTTTTAAGCTTTCAATTTAATAGAAGGAATAGATGTTGATGCAATTGAATCTAATATTGCTAAATATCAAGAAGAGAATGCTGACCAGATTATCATTGCTCGAGCCCGGAAGGTATTCCTTATAGTTTCTCATGATCCTTGCTTATATTTTTTTCTTAATTGAAAATGGTGGCATTTTGTTCTGTTCTTACTAGTCTTGCACCATGATTTTCCATTTCGTTTTTCTCTTATAAGAAATGCTATATATATGTATGTATTGCCGTACTCTTTCATTATGCTCGTGTCTCTAGTACAGGCAGAAGAATTAGCAGCTGCACTAAATGCAAGCAAAGGACCTGTACAGACTGAAACTACAGATTTGGTAAGTTAATGAGTTTACTTATACAATTATTCTCTTAGAAATGTTATTATATATATAAGAAAAAAATCAAAATGGTCTGGAATTATTTGCATGTGGCCATATTAATCCCATAAATTTAATGTATCCAATTTAGTCTACTGACTTCTCAAATATGATCCCAAATAGTCCATCATCAATTCCAGCTGATCCTCCTCAAATTCAATATGAATTTGGCCGATCAAGGATACCAGATCTGGGTGGAAAACCTTCTGTAACTTGGTGCAATCCCACTTACCATTACTAAGTAAAAACTGCTGAACGTATACACCATCCAATGAATTACAATCAATAAAGGTTGGCCAACGGTTGATGCATCTATCCAGCAGCCATGTATCATTTAGAACATTAATCTTGTCACCCTTGCCCACTCTCCAACGAACAGCCATTCTCAAACATTTACCACCATCCACCAGAATTTGCCAAGCCGTTGAAGTGATCTTCCTTTGGGATCCATTCATCACATCATTTCTATATCTAGCTGCATTCACTACAGGAAAAATGTCGATTACCGGCGGTTTATTGACTGCCAGTTTTAACGGCGGCTTGGCTGGCGGTTTTGCCGCCAGCATTTATCGGCGGCCTACCGGTGGGTTTGTTCTGTAAAGCCACCGGTACTAGCGACGGTCTATAAACCGCCGGCAAACTTCCGGACGTCAATATAAAACTGGCGGTTTAACGGTGGCTGCACCGCCGCTGATAAGTTATAATGGTACCCGTGGTCAGGACCGCCAGAAGACTGCCGGTAAATGCCCTAAAATGAACAGACTCGCAACTCGCATTTCATTTCTATTCTCTCCTTCTCTCTCTCGTTTCGATCGCTCTCCCGTTGCCTCCGCCCGCATCTGGATCGCGCTCCATTTGTCGCCGCTAATGAAGTATCTCCGACTGCCGAGCCCACACCGGCCTCCTCTCGCTTGGTCAACCTTTGCTATGACTTGCCGCCGTCGATCTCACTCTGAATCTCACGCCGTCGGCTGCCCTAGGTTTCGTGTGAGTTGAACAAAAATCAGTAATTTAGGGTATTCTTTAACGTTTTTCTTTGATTATTTGTTCTCACTAGACATTTGCAAGAGTTTTTAATTTTTTGGATGATTTAGGTAGTAATTTTTGACATATGCAAGAGGTAATATTGTAATCATTTGGGTAGATCTAAATTTTCTATTTATTAAGTGTTAATTTAGTAATGATAGATCTAATTTGTTGATTGTGACTTTGGGTTAGAGCAAGATAGGAAGAGAGAGATTGAGAGAGAGAAAAGAGAGGGAGAGGGAGAGATAAAAAAGAGGGAGATAAAAGAGAGAGA